GCAATCTGGTAGAGGGAGAAAACGAGTGCATTCGACGGTAGTTGAAGAAGTGGCCACAGCATTACAGGAGGGGTCGGCCGGTGGTGTGCAACCGTGCAGTGCACGAGGAATTGCCGAACATTGGACAGGCCTACGAGCACAGGTGCTGAAAATTGTGCGACGAAACATCCTGCAATGCTATCCGTACAAAATTGGCCATGTGCAGGAGTTGCTTCCGTCTGACCTGACAGCTAGGGAGACTTTTGCGTTAAAATTCCTTGCTCACATGGAAGTGAATAATGAATGGCTGTGGAAAACTTTGTGGACAAATGAAACCCATTTCCATCTGAGACGGTATGTCAATACCCAGAATTGTCGAATATGGGCAATAAAATCCACTGGCAAAGCACCCTGTACCACTTCATCCTGAAAAGGTCATTGTGTGGTGCGGCTTTACGGCATCCTACAGCCATATTTTTTCGAGCAGACGGGTGCTTCCGGTCCTGTTACCGCAACCGTCACTGGTCAGAGGTTGCGTCTCTTTGTGCAACCACGTGATTCCAGGTCTGCAACAGCGTGGATGTGTGGATGAAATCATTTTTATGCAAGATGGCGCTCCTCCGCACATTGCACATCCCGTGAAACAGCTGCTGAGGCGCCATTTCGGAAATGCTCGAATTATCAGCCGTCATTTGCCTACATCCTGGCCATCCCGATCGCCTGATCTTACTCTGTGTGATTTCTGGCTGTGGGAGTATCTGAAGGATGTTGTGTTCCGTGCTCCGATTGCAAATTTAGCGGAATTAAAGGCACGCATTTCGCAACACATTCTGAACATCACCCTGGAGACACTGCGATCCGTTGTGGAACATGCTGTTTGTCACTTTCAACTTGTTGCACACAACGGTGGACACCATATTGAACATGTTTTGCGCCAGTCTCGCGACAGTTCCGAACTTCTTTGATGAATGGTTCTTATGCGGTATGTCGCCGCAAAACTCTTGAAACCGATTTGTCCCTTTCGATGTGATATGTACAGTCATGCAAATAAAATTATTCAACAATTCTAATTTGTCAATGCGTTTTGATGTGTAACTTCCACCTTAGCCATTGTTTTACGAATTTTCTCGTTTTCGTCGTGATTCTGCCGCTTACAGCGCCATCTGTTGCTAACTTTTGAAACTAAATTTTTCTTCTGCCATATGCTTTCCGCCTTTTCAATAACATTCCTTTCAAATTTCACATCATTTTCATCAGTGGTTCTTTTTTTATAGCGTTTTGAAACTTAAACTTTAATTATAATCACCCTGTAATATCCAAGAAGATAATGTATTTTGTTTTAGTGACTCTAAAATTGTTCTTCACTGGATCAGGGGTACCGCTGATAAATGGAAACCCTTTGTTGCTAATCGTGTACGGGAAATACAAGATGTTGTATCACCTTCGCAATGGAAATACTGTAAGGGAAATGACAATCCGGCTGACATAGTTTCACGTGGATTAAGAGCTTCTGATCTAGTGGAAAATAAACTTTGGTTCAATGGACCAGTGTGGTTAAAAGAGAAAAATGTACCTTCATCATCTTTTGATCCTTTGATTGAGCCTATGGTAGAAGAGGTACAGGTAGAACAGCGTCAAACTACTGTATATTCTGTTATTAGCCAAGAGGTTGAATTTGAATTGACATCCAGGTTTTCATCCTGGAAAAAAACTGAAACGCGTAACTGCATGGTGTTTAAGATTCTGCCAACAATATTAAACCTACATCTTTAAAACTCAAGGGTTTTTTTAACAATTCAAGAATTGGATAAGGCAAGCAATTTGATTTTCAAAATCATGCAAAATTCCGAATTTAGAGAAGAAATTAGACTTTTGAAAGCAGGGAAGAAATTGAATCTCAGCAGTAAAATCCTGAAATTAAATCCTTTTCTTGATAGAGAAGAAAATCCTTAGAGTCGGTGGTAGACTCTGTAACTCGAATCTTTCAGAAAACACAAAGTATCCAATCATTCTTCCCAAAAGTCACCAAGTTACTGAATTGATAGTCAAACACTTTCACGAAGTGAACCTTCACGGAGGAGCCACATTAACATTATCTGCTCTGCGACAGAGAATATTGGATCGTTAATGGCCGAGAAATTGTAAGAAAAATAATTTGGAAATGTATAAAATGTTTTAAAAATCGAACAAGCACATCCAGTCAGATAATGGGCGACCTACCTGCTTCTCGCGTATTGCCGGAGATAGAACATTCTCGAATACAGGACTAGATTTTGCAGGCCCCTTTTTAATTAAAGCTAGGAAAGGAAGAGGAAGAGAACGAGATATAAATGTTACGTTTGCCTTTACATATGTTTCACCACAAAGGCCATTCACCTAGAAGTGGTCAGTGATCTAACAACTGAAGCATTCCTAGCATCTCTGAAAAGATTTGTGTCACGCAGAGGAAAACCCAAGAAAATCTTTTCCGATAGAGGAACCAACTTTGTTGGGGCTGATCGAGAATTAAGAAGATACATAGCTACACTTTCCTCTGACGAAGCATTTCAAAACTACCTGAGCGGTGAAAATATTCAATGGATCTTCAATCCTCCTGCTGCCCCTCACTTTGGAGGCCTTTGGGAGGCTGGAGTGAAACAAATGAAGATTCACTTAAAGCGGACTATTGGGACCCAGGTTCTGACATACGAAGAATTTCACACCTTAATTACACAGATCGAGGCGTGTTTGAATTCCAGGCCAATAGTTTCCATCTCATCTGACCCTGAAGATTTTAATCCTTTAACACCTGGACATTTCCTAATTGGGACTACATTAACAGCAATTCCTGAACCTGATCTTACAAATAATAAGCTAACCCCTGCTGAAAGATGGAAATTGACACAGCAAATTTTCCAGAGCTTTTGGAAACGTTGGTCTAGAGATTATCTTTCACAATTACAAGGGCGTACCAAATGGTTGAGGGATAAACCAAATTTAGCCCTCAATGACTTAGTCTTGATAAAGGACGAAAATTTGCCTCCATTAAAGTGGCGACTTGGACGAGTAATTGAACTATATCCTGGTGCTGATGGAAAAGTTCGTGTTGTGAAACTAAAAACTTTATTGGGCGAAATGAAGCGTCCTATACATAAACTTTCCCGCTTACCATTGAGTGAATAAGACTCTAAAAAAAAAAAAAAAAAAGCATTAATTGTATATTCATAATTTGTGTCTTTATTATTATTAATTCAATTATGTTTCACATTCATAGAATGGACCACAGTTGTGGATTATGATAATTTAGCAGTTTCATTATTTTGTTTTCCTTCTAGAGATGTAAGTGTGTTTTAATTTGTAAAATTTTGTGCTAAATTTAATGTTGTTATTCAATTTAAATTTGTCATTATGCATTTTTATTTTATGATATACTGTTGAACTTTTGGAAAACTTGTTTAAATCTAAAATTGAAGATCTTTATAATAATGTTGTAATGAACCAATGTTCATCGGGGCGGAGTATGTTCCGTCTTTTTGGTAGATAGGTGGCGCTCTTGATGCGCGCCGATGAAATATAGCACTTGACGCTTGAACATGAAGAATGACGCATGTCATTTTATTTGATGCTTGATTATGTTTCATGGCCGCTATAGGCGGAAGTAATATAAGTAATATAAGTTTATCGTTAATAAATGTTATTTCTATGTTCTGTGAACTCTTGAAATTTTGATTTGAAATTCTAATGCTCTCCCAACCGTGACTCCTGAAACGAAACGATCTTTGAATTTATGACTCATGAAGAAAGACACCACACACACTCTTTTATAATTTTATTTTAGGTCACAATTTTATTATGTAGCCACAGATCAAAATATTCTAAATTGTTGGTTACAATTATTTTTTGTCCTTATTTGTTTGGCATTTTATGCTGTAGACAAGAGGAAAGTAATTAATGTAACTATTCAAAGCATCTAGAGTCATTTTTTTATAAATTACATTATGCATTATTCTTTTAATAAAAATTGCTGACTATGTGCATGTCTAAATTGAAAATCATATTTTATTTTAGTAATGACTGAATTTATGAAATAAGTAGATATGTATGAAATATATGAAAGATTGGAGATGGTTTAAACAGAGTCTGAGAATGAATGGTGAAATTTCATGAAGTGTCTGTAAAGTGTGTATAATGTGAAATGGGTTGAAATTGATTTTATTTAATTGAATCATCCGGAAGATCATGAATAAAATTAACACATTTCTGTCGGTGTACCATTAACAATGCAACATATGTCACAAATAATATTGAGTTTTGGTCCATAGTCTGACAGAAACATCTGCTGTTGTGCGATTCTCACATTAAAGTGGTCAAATTATTTTTTCTGTGCATTGTTAAAGTATTTATCAGAGACCTCATGTTACAAGGTATTTCTCCCACCTTCATAGTGTATTGGTTTGCACTCTGAGCACGTATTCCAGAGGTCTGTGGTTCAATTTCCGATGAGGGCATTGCTCATTTTTCATCAGTCCTGCTTTAAAAATAACTTAATGTCTCTAAGTGGCACCCAAACTAAAAGGGTGGTAGATGATGATTCTTCACACCCAGGATTTGGTGATCCTGGTCCCCTAAAAACCCCAGTCACCCTTTAAAAGGGGAAGTATATAAGGTATTTCTCTCGCCTTCGTAGTGTAGTGGTCAGCATGGTGGGCGCATATTCCAGAAGTCCGTGGTTCGATTCCCGGCGAGGGCATTGTTCATTTTTCATCACTCATGCTTTAAAAATAACCTAATGTCTCTACAATGTAATCCCGTTATTGTTGGACACCTGTGTTTTACCTGTGTATTGTATTGTATTGTACCTGTGTATAGTAAATACTTTACTTCGAAGTATTAACATTAATAAAGTATTTAATGTACTGATAAAATGCAAATTAAATCTCTTGAAAATTATTTGTTTAAAAAAGTTCTTAAATTTTAATATTTTTTTCCGATAAGCAATTGCTACTAAGTCTTTGTTAGTTTTTTCCTTAATCTATATACAGTGCAGATATTGAAGTAACAGTAGATTTTCTGACAGAAATTGACAAGCTTGTTCAGCTCATAGAATCTCCTATATTTACATGTGAGTTTTATAACCTAGTAAAAGATACAGTAATGTTGTGAGTCATGGTAATTAAAGGAGAGAAGTAAATAATTATTAACAAAAAGTAGAAATACATAAATACCAATAAATAATTGCTGTTCTTAACAATGTGAAATGAGGATTCTCACTTACCTAGAAAATTCTGAAATGCTCAGGAAAAATTTTTTAAAAATAAGTCAATACTCTTAAACAATAAAAAGTTAATATTTTAATGAGTGCTTAGCAAATAAAAATTGCCCTTCTTATGAAGAAGGTAAATGAAGAATAACTGTTATCTCTTGTTTTTCTAGCAGAAAATATTTTACTCATCAACTGTCTGTTGAAATTTTTAACTCATTCAAATAGCTCTTTGCACCTTTTTTATCTCTTTAGAAGTGTAATAGCCATCCAAAAATAAATATTGTAATTGAGAAACTGTTATACTGAGTGGTTTTATAATAATTATATTAAAACACTTAAGCACGTAAATTCTGATCCCCTAAGTTTTGTGCTGAAAAACCATATAACTAATATTTATTGTCTATTGTTACTATTATAAATCTTTTAGTAGAATAAATATCTTTCCTCCTAGGCTTTTGAATTGATTTAAGAAATTGATATTTTTTTAAAGCTTCACTATTTTATTGAATGATTTAAACACGTGTATAAATGTTTCTTTTATTTGATCACAATAATAAATAATGTAAATTTTTAATGATATTCTACTGTATTGTAATTTGTAATCAACATATAAAATTATTATATTACTTATTTGATAATTAGTTCATTCTGTTTGGTCATGGAAAATAAGGAAAGTTAAAAGTTCAATTTCAGTAGGAATCTTGTTAGGTCTAATCACTTCAAAAAATTTCATAATAATACCTGTAAATTTTCTTAATAATACTCGGCTATTTATGGCTTTCTTAATAATACTTTTCTATTTATGTCTAGAAACATAAATTGCTAGAAATAACATTTATGTTACTTCTGGCTGTGTGAAGAATACCATAAATTTATCCTCATGTGTACTAAATTACTATAATATTAATTATTGATGAAACTGAATATAATTTCTAAGCCAAGTCAATTGTTGTTTCTGTTTCTGCTATGTGCAACATTTAGTGCATTCTAACTAAATGTTGAGGAAATTGACATTTTAATTGGGAATCTTTTCTTACTGTATACTTGCACTAATACAGTTGGTACCATCATTCTCCAAGTAATAAAATTAATAAAAATTAAGATCATTTTGCTTCATATGATTTACAGTGATATTTTTTTATTTTTCATCCATTATTTAGAACCATAGTCCCAACTTTTTTTTAGGTCACTGCCTCCTTTTTGAGTCTTTTTTGCTAGGCAGTCCAAGTCTGAATAGTGCCTCATGCCCTTGCAACAGTGATATAGTAGATATATGAATATGACCTATAGGTATTGACTGAAAACATATAAACACCTTTAGGTATTTATATATTATGAAAATCATCATATGATATAGTGAATAATAACGACTTTTAGGTATTTATATGTTATAAAAATCATCGTATAATATAGAAGTAGAATAATAATTATTAAGATTTCTCAATAGGAATGATTATGCTCAAATTTCTTCAGTCAATGTTTTTAGAATATTAAATTAATAGTTAATAAGTTCTGATCCTTTGGAATAGTCAAATGAAATTACATGCAACTTGAACCACCTTGGGTGAAGGCTGAGACGTAATTTGGTGTGGTTCTTTAAACATGCATGACTGTAATATTTTATGTAACCAAATAAGTGTGTAAATTTTTGTTTTAAAAATATTTAAATAACCAACTTTTCCAACTGCACTGATTGCTTCTGAATACCTTTTTACTGCTCTGAGCCATTAAAACCCCCAAAATCTTCTTGGAGCCCAGTGGTGGCCATTGGAAATATTATGGTTTAGGTGACAGAAAAATTCTGTAACTCATTGCAGTAATGCAATCTATGAATATATTGTATTTCTATTATTCTTCCATGAATTAATGTTTTTAATTTCATTTGAATAATATTTTAGGATATATTTTATAAATTTTGTACTATCTATTTGCTATTTGATTTTAATAATTCCAAGTTCCTGGTTTTTATTTGTTTAATTTTAGACTAATAAATTTCATGTATTTTACAGATTTAAGGCTTCAGCTTCTTGATGCTCAACAGAACCCGTACTTAGTTAAGAGTTTATATGGCCTTTTAATGTTATTGCCCCAAAGTGAAGCATTCCATACTTTGAGACATAGACTTGCATGTGTTCCTAATGTGCAGCTTATGCCTCCCCAAAAGGCAAAGTAAGAGAATTTTAATTTTTTTTTAATGGTGAATTGTGTGTGTGGGTAACTTCAAAAAGTTTCTAGAATTATTGTCTCTCACATGAAGTATAAATTATCTGTGATGTGTTACTGTAGTTAGCATGCCAAAACAAACTCTTCTTCTGTAACAATAAGATTGGCCTTTTTACCTCCCATCAACCTGTATACATAGGTAAGAGAGGTCGTGTTTTCAGTCCAAAAATCTGATAGTGAGTTTTCTGTGAATAAGTATGCATTAGGGTCCGTACAACATGTGTTTACTATTTTTACAAGCATGTCCGTATGTGTGATGATTTTTTCACCAGATAGTTTTCACTTGAAGCCCATAACAGTTTTGCAACAATTAACATAGCATAACATATTGTTGCATATATATAGAGAGAGAGATAAACCATAACAAATTGTTGCAGTTGAATGAGCATTGTTTACTGATACATAAATATTGCAGAGATGTATGTGTAGATCAAAATGAATTTAGATTTGATGATACTGCAGAAATAACACAGAAGAAAATTAAATTATACTCTTCATTTCAAAGTACTTATTTTAAGTATTAAGCATATTTTTTCCAACTAAACTGCCCAATGAAGTACAATTTTTAATAAAGAAAAACAAAAGCAAACATTTTATTACTTTGATATAAATTTAGAAGAACTACTTTTTGCACATGACCTAGTAAAGTATAATCCAAAATATTGTATTACAAATTATACTATTTATTCGAACAACAAATTAGATTGTTTATAAAATGATCAACCAGAAGTGATACTTCGCTTAAATTGTCGCTATTTGAAAAATGGAAACATGGTACTAACAGAAGGTCATGCTAGGTACATCAAATTTTATTTAAAATGTAGCTCATAGGGTATCATGATTAAACATTGCTACTAAGATGCAGTGTGACCCTATACTTAGTTTACTTGAATATTTCCTCGTCATGGATCCCTCTACTATTTTTAAAGTATGATTTAGAAACTTCATATAAACTTACTTACTGAATTCATGAAAAGGACTCCTGAACAAGAAATCAGTTCTTGAAATTTCTCAGATTGATATTCTTTGCTGATATGTTTCATTATCAGCCTTACAAATTTCCAGCCAAGTCCAATCATCTTCCATTCCTTTTAGATGAAAAGGAAAATCACGTTGATACAGAGTATTAGGGAACCAACTCGTAGAATTTAAATCTCTAGAATAGGGGTGCACAACCTTTTTAGCAGAAGGGCCACTGGATTGCCGAGGGCCAATAGCGTATGCAAAAAAATGGGGGGTCAAGGTAATAAATTGCTTAATTTGATGTTCAGTTGAAAGCTAGTTGTTGATATTCTGAAGACAGTTTGTAAGTACTGGTCTGTCAGTGTATTTCGTAACTTATTTAGGATTCATAAGAAAAAGTTCTTGTTCACATATATAAGTACTACTAAACAGAGTAGCACATCTACTTTCATTATTTTTTAAGCACAAAATTCGGCAAGTTGAGTTTTATAAAAGTCAAACATGTCTAAATCATGTAATCTGGATTTCCATAAGTCAGAAGTTTGTAAATCAGTAAGTTCCATTTGAACATCTTCTGAAGCTTCTTCGACTACAATAGAAAATGGGTCCCCAAACAATTTAAATTTAACCTTATGCAACTCAAAATCTATCAATCACTTTTCAAATGAAGTAAGCAGTACCTTTATTTGATCAGAATACTCCAATTTGTTTGTCAGGAAAATTTCCCTTGAGTTTCTTCAGGTTAGGAAAATTCACAAAATTTTGACAACCAAGCTGCTTTGAGAACAGCTGGAGTTTTAGTTTGAAAGCTGATACTGGTGAACTGGATTTTTCCCATCAATTTTTTGTTTAGATCATTCAGATGGGCTGTGACATCAACTAAAAATGCTAAGTCACACTTAAAAGATGGTTCCTTTAACATCCTAGTTTGCTTGCCTTTTTCATCAAGGAATGCTATTATTTCATCAATCAAATCAGCAAGCCTTTTCAAAACCTCAACATGCCTCAACCACCGTACTGTACTTCAGAGTAATATATGAGATCAGTATATGGTGCATCTGTGGGTTGTAGGATTTCCTTAAATTGTCTGTGGTTTAAAACATGTGAGTGAATAAAATTGATTTTATCACTCACTACCTTCATTAGGCTGTTAAATCCTAGTTCTTTTGCACACAGCTATTCTTGATGTGTGATACAGTGATACTCAAGCAAATCTTTGCCATCCATCATCCAGCTGTTTTCTCAGTAGATTCACCATGCTATTCTGAATTCCAATCATGGCTGGAGCTCCAAAATTATGTGCAGGACACAAATTTAAAATGAAGGATGAAATATCAGCTTAAAAATATTTTTTATAATACAAAATTTGTGTTTTGTACTGAAATTTTGTAGTTGATTTTGTATTGTCATATGTGAGAATAAATGTAAAAGTTTGTTTTAAATTAACAAATTTATCTCATAATCCATTTAAAAATTTACAGTTCTGTTTTAAATATAAAGGGAGTCTAATATATATATATATATATACACATGTAAATTATATATATATATATATATATATTATAAACACACACGCACCAAGGGACTGTAATCTCATTTTATGCCATTTCAACGTTTCAACAACCATAACTAATTTTTTTTTTTTAGATTGACAATGTAGTAATGCTAAATGTAATGCTTTTTTGTTAACTGTAAATTAAAAAATGTACAGTTCTGTTTAAATCTATAAAGGGGAGTCTAATATATATATATATATATATATAACGCACACGCATCAAGGGACTGTAATCTCATTTATGCCATTTCAACGTTTCAACAACATGACTAATTTTTTTTTTTTTTAGATTGACAATGTAGTAATGCTAAATGTAATGCTTTTTGTTTAACTGTAAATTAAAAAATGTACAGTTCGTTTTAAATATAAAAGGGAGTCTAATATATATATTATATATACACACCAGGGACTGTAATCCCATTTATGCCATTTCAGTGTTGGTTAAACAACATAAATTTTTTCTTTTTTTTTAGATTGACAATGTGGTAACACTAAATGTAATGCTGCTTTTTTTTTTTTTTTTTTTTTTTTTTTAAGTATATTACAGCTTATTTTAAAAACTGGATAGGTTATTATTAATATGAAACAAATAATCATTAATTTTAATTCTTTATTTCAGACCAAAGGATGAAAGGAAGCCACCTTCTTTCATTAATTTTGATGAACTTATAAAACATTTTAAAGAAATTCAAGATAGAAGAAGAAAAGAAAAGAAAACTATTCTATGGAAATAGTGTTGATTTATGTACAAATTTCTTCTCCGAATTGATACTTATGAATGACATATTTTAATGCTATTTGTTACATGTATTTAACACACAAGTTATTAAAAAATGAATTATTGTATTATTTTCCCATTTATCAAATATATTGTGATTGAATTGTATTCAGTATCTTCTCTGTTGAATATATTATGAGCTATATTTATGTACTTTTATGTGAAATTGAAGTATATTATTTTATATTTGTTATATTATTTCTTAATTTATTATGTTTTTCTGTTATGAAATTAAATACATTAATATATTTACAGTTATTGGATATTTTGTATGAACTTTAACGTATTTCCTGTGATAAGAAAACAAAATGTTTAACAACAGGGTGCTTTCCCAAATCTAATCTTTCGTTTTTTTTATGTTGTTAATTATTTTGTAAGTAAATGTAATGTAATAAGCATTATAAAACATGCAGTTTCAACTATTTAAAGTCATTTAAAACTGAAATCAGTTACAGAAATTGGTGTTAAAATGTTGCACCTTTTAAGTGGATGGAAAGATTGAAATTTTGCTGGCACATATATTATTTTGTTTTTAGAACTTTGGAATATAAAATTTACGCTTTGAATATGAAGCTGTATGGATTTTAGCATTTTGCAGATTTCAGATCATAAAAGAAAAATTATTACATTTAGATTAATAAAAAGAATAAATTTATTTTTGATAACGTATAGAAAAAAAATTTTATTTAACATATAAGGATGAAAACCATTCAAACATTTATTTACGGTAAATTGCATTAAAAGTTTATGATGTTCTAATCTGCTCACCCTTCTCCTCAAATTACACAATCATTACTTCCTGATTATTTCCACAGATTTGTTGTTATAAATTAGCTTTTCATTAATGCTGATAGGAAAACTCTGAGTTTATTTAGAATTTGCCATTATGATACAACAAAATAAGGACTGTTTGTGATCCTAGTCACAATAAAATTAAACATTGGGAATGTCCAAATATAAGTAGTGGCCTGAAATGTTTCAATATTGTACGTGATTTTAAACTATTTTCCTGTGATAGAAGTAAAATACGTAGCTTTGCAAACATAGTTTCCAAATTTCAAATTTCAAATTTCAAAAACTATTATTTAATAGTTGCAGTACAGTAAGCCCTTGTTATTGCAGTTTTGACTGTCTGCAGTCAATTAAAATCTTTAATGAAGTAAAATAAAATCCTGAAACAGTAAGAGCAATCCTAACAATACATTCAAGATCCAGCTTTGCTCATAAATATAGTCATGGCTATTTGAATCCATGGCTGTCTTTCATTCTGGGTTATTTCTTTTCCTACAAGAATTTAGTGTCTTTATTTCAGATTTTGTACTATATACCTTTTGAATGTATTTCAGCGAAATCCCCCTGATGTTTCACCTACGGACTATGTTGCCTTTGGTCTTTTGAAAAAAGCTCTTTTGAAGCGCAAACCCCTGATGTCTGAAAGACTCCTATGTGTCTACACCCCCCCCCCCGTTTTTTTTTTACAAACAAATTAATAACATTCTAATTGAATGATTTTTTTATCATGTTTTTTTCAATTGAGATCATGGAGCTCTTAGTCTATTCACGGTGAATAAGTATTCCTTCATAGAAAACAAGTTAACATTTTTTTTCTTATAATGGAATGTTATAAAACCATAATACTGTTTACAGTATATTTTTGAACGTTGGATTACAAAACAAACTTGCAAGTTTTGCAAATTAAATCCACTCGTCCTTTTTTTTAAAGAGATAAGCAAATTAATAATATTTTAATTGAATGAAATTTTTTTAATGTTATACTTCAGCGGTGGTCATTGGGATAGTCATAATGATTAGCAACACTTTGTTGGTCTCAAACACAATATTGCTATCTTTCTTCATTATGGATTATCCCTTTTCTTAACAGAATTTAATGGAAGACTCATGATCAGATTGTTGTTCATTATGGGTTTTTCTTTTTCTTCAGAGAATTCGATGACCGATTCTTGATCATATGCCATCTGTCCGAAAATTTCCAAGAGAGATTTTTTCTTGCCATATAATCACAACTGGGAATCATAAGTTGTTCGTAGTTTTATCAGGGTTCCGTGGATCCATTGTTCAAGAGGATTCAGCAGGTTCGTACAAAACTATTGAAGTAGAGTGATTTCTTCTTTTTGCATAACAATGCACCTGCTCACATGGCTGGAGAGTGTATTCACCAGATTGGATACTGCATGGCTTTTTTATTTCTGAAAGTCAAACTTCACATCAAGGCTTAGGGCTAGGACAACATACAACTTTCAAACCTCAGTGATACACAAGTTAAATAACATCCCAAATACAGGCTTTTCTGGCAGTTTCATGTGGTTGTATGAGTAGGTACTTGCTTATTTGAAACAGCACAAAATTATTCTTTTTTTTTTTTTTTTTTTAAATACAAGTTTTGACAAGATGCTTATTTGGCAATAGTTATGAAAGCAATTATTAATAGAATATGGTAATTTACTTCAATACTGAATATGGAAGCTAGGTTAGTAGGTTTTCAATCTTCTCTTTTATTTTTATTGCTTGTGCTTGTATTTATTTGCCGTTTGATTTCTGGTCTTAACCTGTTTCTTTACTTTAAGACCTGTAGGTAACTTGTAGAAATGGATGAGAAGATATAGTCCATTTGCAAGATAGGGGTGTAGGGGTTATTGTAATAAAATATGGTACCTTCTTTTATAAGTGTTTGTTGGTTCAAATTATAGCCATTAAATTATAACCAATGATAGAACCCTAGATATGAGTGCTGTGATAACTCTTACAGTAGCTATAGCATAAAACATGGGGGAAAACAGTTTTGAAGAAGAAAAATGAAATATATAAGTGAAATAAATTTATGCAGTAATCACTTGTGCAGAATTGATGCTGGAAGATCTTAACACAATTCTAAATGTGTAAGAAACAGTAGAAGATGAAAAGGGTGTGGAAGAAAGATTTCTCAACAAAAATCTTAATGAAATTTCTGTTGAAGAACAATTAACTGATCACATTGTTGAGTCGGAATATTTTACAGAAAGAGGATTGAAATGTAATGAAGGCATTCAAAATTAGCTATATCCTATGCTGAATAATGACTTTGATAAAAAAAAAAAAAAAAAAAAAAGAGAGAAACAAAACTGTAGGACATAATTTTTTCACCTTGTTAATAACCTAAATATTGATTAATACTTTTATTGAACACATTTTTATGTTAAATCTAATTCATATACTTAAATGAAGCTTCTTTATTTATGTGTAATAGTGTTATCAATTCAACCACACCTGTCATTTTACATTTCTTCTTGGTCTTATTATACACAAAACACTGGGGGGTGGGACCTAACCCTCATGGATAATGAGGGATTACTGTATATATATTAAAAAAATCAGAGAACTTGCATAGGATATGGTATTTATTTTTAAAAATAGATAATATGGAAAAACCTAGTTAGCATTAGTAATTAAAAATACATATTACAGTAGGTAATTAAAATGATAAATTTAGTAGTGAATGTCTTTAAACAAACAGCTTTTTCAATCTGCTTATGAAGGTATGTATTTAAACAGCATTTAGTAGTTAAATTTGCATAATTTTTTATTTTAGTCTTTGTTTTCATAAATTCCCATTTATTAAGATGGTATTTACATCATTAAAAAATCTGATGTAGATACTACATGACTTCTTTGTACAGCCTGTTAAATTATACACATTTTTTGCTGCAGTTTGTTGAAACTTATGTCCATGAATTATTCTAACTTAATTAACCAATCCCACAAGGCAAGTTGAAAATGACATCAAAAATTGCAAATTTTGAAATTAAATATCCATTTTTTTTGTAAGGGAGTCAAACTTCTTATAATTTTTTCTTAATGACTATAAAATTTTTCTAAATATAAGTATAGGAACTGAGAAACCATGTTAAAAGTTATATTTCTTTATTTGCTGAAAATTAATTATTTTTAAATTTGATGTCAAAAACATGAATATTTTCATCATTTAAAACACCTTTGTAATTGGAAGTATATGACTACGACCGACACTTGCAAAAATGAAGACCAGGTAAGGGGATGGTCAAACTGTAGCTGGTATGCCCCTTTACTGCGGCTCATAAGAAGCATGAGGCTCTTTGACCCCTTAAAATCAATTCCCTTTCAATAAACAGTTTTATTTTTTAAATAAGAGTTGCATTGTAAAAGAAATTGTCCAATGGCATGCATCTTTATCATTTAGTAATGTAATTTCTCATATTACTTTATATGTATAATAGTTTAGTTAATTTCAAGCAATCCGTCCTGCACATTAGAGTATCAAACAAAAAGTAAATAATTTGATTTCTGTGAATTATATTACAATTACCATGTTATTTTTAGAGCAGCTAATGTTCATTGGGACAGCACAAACGTGAAGTAATTTAAAAAATACTTAGGCACTTTCTCCTTGCAATTCTTCTAGTACCCCTGCTTCTCAAAAACTGCAATTCAATGTTTTTGGAAATTTGCTGTTCTTTGGAAGCCTTCCCCCCTCTTTCTTTTAGTCTTCGGATGGCTTTGGCAGTTGCTGAAGAAACCTCTTTCAGATTAGAGCCATATTTGAGATTTAGTAAACTGTTGTGCAGGCCTTATGATGGATGAGATAAAACTTCTCATTTGTATTTGTTACTACCTTTCCATGTCTATTTTTAAGCAAATCAGACGATGTTTGTGTGTTTTTCTTCAAACTTTTAGCAACCACTCACAATAATATGTTGCAGTCACATGTTTCCCAGCTAAAACTCTTTCACACTGACACTTTGGTAAACCTAGGTAGATATCTTTATCTATGATTGTACTTGTCAAAATGTTAAAGCATGGGAATGATGGACATCCTCAATGGATTGATTGTAGTTTCAACTCTGGTACAAAGTCACTAAGCCACATTTCATCAGATTACTCATGAGAGAAATATACTGATGCTGGTGGTATTGTTGTAGCTTGAGATATTTCTTCGCTTATTGCTTGTCAGTCTTCATCCTTTTTAGCTGTTACAAATATGAATTTTTCTTCTGTTTATGGTTTATCTTCCTGGCCATTGATCATCTTGTGCATCTGACTAACTTTTCACAAAGGCTGGTAGCTCAGCAGAGGCCTACACTATGATAGACTGCATAAGTACACTAAATGACATTGAAAATGCAGTACCAAGAAGGAGTGGCCAGAAAGTGTTGAAACTTGGCAAAAAGAGAGAGACGGCAATGAATAATAAGTGATCTTTATTTTGAAATGATATGCATAATACAGAGCGATAACAACGTCAACTCAATAGATTGTAGGACCACCTTGGACGGTGGTACATAAGTAACATGTCTAGGTACAGCGTCAATAAGACTACGGATCGTATCCTGAGGAATGGCTCTCCATTCCCTATGAATCATTTGTTACAGTTCTTCTTCTGAATGCCAGGGTGTGCAAATGGTGTCCAATCACATTCCAGATGTGTTCGATTAGTGAAAGATCACTAGAAAATGGTGGCTAGGGAAGAATCTGTACACCTTGCAGAGCACATTGGCTGATGCGAGCATATGTGGTCGAGCGTTATCCTGCTGAGGGCATTGGGCACTACCTGAAGGTAGGTAAGTATCACCGGCCCCAGCACATCATCAACATATTGTTGAGCTGTCATTACCCTGAAT